GTTGTTGCGGGTGTTGGCTCCCCCCCACAGCCAGTCCTGCCAAGATCTGCCGGCTGCCCTCGCCCAGCCTGACCCTGAGCCATCTATCTCCTCTGTGTCCACCCCACAGTTCCTCCACGCACTCACCTTGGCACCAGGGAGACCAGGTTCCCCAGGGCGTCCAGCTTCACCAGGAGATCCTTTGGGACCGACAGCGCCGGGGGACCCGCGCTCACCAGGGGGACCCTAGGGAAGGATGGGAGTGAAGACAGAGGTTACTCCAGCTGGAAGACCGGGACCAATGCAGGGGATGAAAGCCATGTTATGGGAGGATGCAGGGACAAAGATCCAGCCTCAGGATCGAGTGATCTGGAGCAGAGCAGGGGGGAAGATGACAAACCCATCATATCCCCACTGCCCCATTCAGGACACATCTCTCCCATACAGGTGGGGAGGAGAGTTCAGTACCTACCTTGGGACCAGCAATGCCATCAGCACCAGGGAAACCACGGCTGCCAGGAGCACCCTGCAAGGGACACGAGAGCGGTCAGTGTGGCGCAGGTGGGCAGCATGAGGAGCAGGCGGGTGGCAGAGGACTCTTGGGCTGTTGGCAATGGGAATAAGCCCAAGGCAATGGGGCAGCTTCAGGGCACTTGGGGTTTTAGGGGAAGGATATTCTGATGTGGGCGTCAGCTTCCAGTCGGGAGCAGGCCTGGTCTCCCCCAAGGTTCGTGAGATGCTCCAGTGGAGATCTCAGTCAGGGGCCCTGATGGAGTGAGGGCCTGGAAGAGGCTGAAACCAGGTGGGAATTTCACCATCCCGAGGTTTGGTTCAGGAGGTGTGTGGCTCTCTGCCCAGCAGAAGCCTGGAGTGCCCAGGAGGTGGAGCCAGTGGGCAAGATGTCCAGAGAGAGGAGGAGAAGCTGGTCTTGGAGGAAGATGGGAACAGGGACATGACAGTGATGGCAACGGGGAGAACTCCTACTTACACGTTCGCCAGCGGGCCCAGGAAGCCCAGCGGGGCCAGGCTCACCACGGGCTCCTCTCTTGCCTTCTTCACCAGCTGGACCAGGGGGACCTTGGACACCAGCAGGGCCCTGGAGAAGGAGGCAGAGGGGTGAGTGTCCGCAGGGTACATTGAACCAAGCAGAGCTCAAATCTGCCAGCAGGCTCTAGATGGGCTGTGAGGGGGTTACTTACGGGTTCGCCTTTTGCACCAGTGTCTCCCTTGTTGCCTGGAGCACCAGGTTCACCCTGGAGGTGGAAGGGAAAAAAAGAGAGAAAGCTGTTTAATTCCAGGTTGATGAGCAAAGAGAACCATGAGCCTCATCCTGTCAGGATCCTCAGCATGAGGGGAGATGTTCAGCATTTCCTAAGGAGCTTTCAGTCCCAGTGCCCACCCTGCTGCTTGCTGGGCCGGAGATGATGGAGGATGCCAGAGGAGAAATATCTCCAGGCAAGACAGTGGGTCGCTGGAGCAGAGGAAGGGACTCAAACCCAGGGAGAAGGTGGAAGGCTCTTGCTTGGGAAGTGGTAACGCTAGCCATGGAGGCAAGGGTCAGGGCTGAGCCCCGCTGCTCAGCATCTCTGCCCAGCCTTGCAAGGGGAAGAAGGCCCACCACAAGCAAGATGGAGAAGGATAATGATACTTACGCTGTTACCCTTGGGACCAGGGGCACCACTGGGACCCTGAGGTCCAGAGGGACCACGAGCACCGGGGAAGCCAGGAGCACCAGCAATGCCAGGAGCACCCTAAAAGGGGCAGAAAAGGTGGTGAGGGAGCTGCATGGACCTTGGTCCCAAGAGCCATGAAGAAAGACAGGATGATGATGGACACTCACAGTTGCGCCTTTGGCACCAGGTTGACCATCAGCACCAGGGTTGCCCTGCAGGGGAGAAAGACAAAGATGAGGGTTATCCCAGGGCCAGCAGGATACAATGTCAAATGGGAATGAGCCATCCGATGCCACTTACAGCAGGACCAGCAGCACCAGCAGGGCCAGGAGGACCAGGCTCACCACGTGCACCTTGAGGGCCTTCGCTACCACGAGCACCCTGGGGACCGGTTTCACCCTGGAGAGGAAGAAGAGGGAGAAGAAGCCATGAGCACGTGGGCTGCTGTGAAACCTCCTTACGTCCCTGGACTTTCAGGACCTCTGTCTCACTCCCCAGTGAAGGATGGGGATGGGAAAATGGGTGATTTCCCTCTTCGTTTGTGGCCTGGTTCTCTACAGAGGCACAGTCTTACAGCCTGGAGAGACTTCTGAGCCATGTAAAATGCAATCGTGAGATTTAGCCAGAGAAGCCCTTTATCTCCACTACAGATGAGAAGTGCAGCCACTTTGGCTACAGACGTGCCTGGCACCAAGCATGGATGAACCCATAGCAGTCTAGGCTAAACTCAGTTCTGCTCTCTAAGTTTTCAGGCCACATGGGAAACACATTTGACACGCAATCCTTCCTCCTCCCCTCTCCCTGTTTCCACCAGCTTTTCAACTTCTCTGCCAAAGCCCTAGAGATCTGGAGGTCCCACCTAGTAGAAAAGGTCAAGCAGGTCCCTACCTTAGCACCAGCAGCACCGGGGAAGCCAGGGGGACCAGCTGGTCCAGTTGGACCCTATAGGAGAGAGAGGGCACGTGTCAGAAAAGCAATTCCAGTGCACATCTGGAGCTGGCGGATTTTCTGGGCAGCAGAGCTCTGGACCCCAGCCAGGATTTCCAAGCTGTGGTCATGGAGCTGAGCTGTGCTTTGGTGTTGGCCAGTGAAGGGATGTTGGAAGGGGATCTCCCATCCAGCAGTCAGCGACTCCCCTCCAGGGAAGCTGACGCTGCTGAGGCTAAGGCCAGTTGCTCCGGGAGAGTATCGTTACTTACTGGAGGACCAGCAGCACCAGGGGCACCGTCGTTACCACGAGCACCCTGCAGGCGAGGAGAGAGAGGAGGCACCCGTCAGTCGTGCTTATCTGCAGCGGTGGCACAAGACCCGGCTCCTGAGCAAGTCCTGCATGCCCAGGGCAGTGTAGCCAGAGGAGGGATGCTCAGCCCTGCTGGAGGGCACAGAAGGGATACTCACAGCAGGGCCAGATGGACCGGGGCGGCCTCTCTCGCCGGGAAGACCACGAGGACCCTGGGGAGGAGAGCAGACACGCGTTGTCATGAGGGGAGCTGCCTTCATCATGCTGGGCCTTCTCCCAACCCTTCTCCCCCTGCTCTCCCTGCAGTGATGTCTCAAGGGGGTAAAAGTCCCTCCCTGTCCCACTGTCCTGGGGCATCTTTGGAGAACCAGGCCCAGAGGACAAGCTATTTCCCTACCACATTTCTCCCCCTCCCCAAATCATTTTGCTCATCAAAGCTGGATTTCTCCCTTCACCCCTTTCTTTTGCATCTGGTTCGCCAGCTTGGGGCTGGCTCAGAAAGAACAAGACTCACTCACTCACCATTTGTCCAGGAGCGCCGTTCTCACCAGGGCTACCAGGCTCACCCTAGGAATAGGGACAAAAATCAGTGATTCCCAAAGGCAGAAGGAGGAGAGTAAACTTTGGAGAGAGGGCAAAGATGCCCTTGTAGAGGCAGTTCCTCACCTTGGGGCCAGCTGGACCAGGTTCACCCTTGGCACCATCCAGACCACTGAAACCCTGGAGTGCAGGAGAGAGAAGAGATAAGAGTGAAGGTCAGGAGAAGACCTCACCACCTTGGTCAGAGTCAGGATTTGGATATAGGAGGGATTCCAGCCCCTTGCGCCATGAAGGATGGGGAGGACAACTGGGTGCTCTCACAACCTGCTTCCAGGTGGGATGGCCCTCCAGATGTGGTGTCAGTGGAGGGCCATCCTCCATGGCCAGCAGTAGCCATGGTGCTCCCCTTCCCCACATGCCCACAGGCTCATGCCTGGGTTGGACATGTTGTGCAGCCTTCAAGGGCTCCCAAATCTTAACAGTAACCAAGGACAGACTTACCCTGTGACCCTTCATGCCTGGCAGGCCAGCAGTTCCGGGAAGACCACGTGCACCCTAGGAGAAAAGGCCAGAGAGTGACTGGAGAGGCCCACAGAGGCGCAGAGGGCTGCTGTCCCCTGCCCCCCAACTCCCACCTCCCAGGGCTCCAGGGAGCAACTCCCAGGCACATCCTTGCTCCCAGGCTTTGCCATCAGCTACCCCAGGGCCAGTCAGCCCATGCATAGATGGGCAAGATGTTTCCTATGTTTCCTGCCCACATGGGCCAACATGACTGCTGTGACCCCACCAAGGATGTGCGTGGAGGACGAAGCCACCATCTCCCAAACAGAGCAGACATCTTACCTGGGGTCCAGGAGGACCGCGCTCACCGGGACGGCCAGGCTTTCCAGCTTCACCCTAAGGGAAGGCAAAGAGAAGGACAACTCATTGGAGGCTGATCCTGGGCTAGGCAGCTCCTGTTTGCCTGAAGACCTTGAATCTACCGGCCCAGTGGTGATGGGGCTGTCTGGCCCCAAACCCAGCCCCAAGAAGGCGAGACCCCATCCTCCCTGCAGGACACAGGGATCTTGCAGCAGCTACTTACATCATCTCCGTTCTTGCCAGGGGGGCCGGCTGGACCACGAGGACCCATGGGACCCTAGAAGAGATGCAGGGCACAGGGGTGAGGGCTTGGCGCCGGAGCAAGGCTTCCCCCCGCCCTCCCACGGGCATGAGCTGGCTATTCCCAGGCCAAGGCAGCGCCATTCCCACTGCTCCTGGCCCAGAGCCGAGACGTCTCCAGCCAGAGAATCCCTCAAGCGGTGAAGAAGGGAATGGCAAGGACGAAGCCAAGGCTTAGGCTGGGAAAACTCAGTAATCCACCCCAGACAGACAGGATATGAGGAAGGAGAAGATCAGCAAAACTTACAGAAGCACCAGGCTCTCCAGGCTCACCAGGGGGACCTTGGAAACCTTGAGGACCCTACAGCGTTAGGGGAGAAAACAACGGAGAAAATGGGTTAGAATATGAACAGCAGGGGTCTGAAGGCATTGCCCTGCTGGCAACGGTGGTACCGAGGTAAAGTGGAATGAGGACCCGGATGCAGTGCTGGGCGTGTGTTGTCACCTGTCACTGGCACCAGGGAAGGGTGGGAGGCCACCTCCTGCCCTCGCCCTGTCCCCGTCCCCTCCCTGCCCCTCCACCCGGAAGATTTCTTCCAGCCATGAGCTAAAAGGACACTTGGGGCTGCCAGGACCAAGGGGTTTGAGATTGAGGGCTGGGGTTCAAACCCATGCTAGAAACATGAAGGAGATACTCACAGGAGCGCCAGGAGGGCCGGGGAGACCGCGAGGACCAGCTGGACCCTAGGAACGAAGCAAAGGAAACCCGAGCTGAGCAGCCGCCGCGCCGCCGCGCCGCTGCGCCGCCTCGTCCCCCCACGTCGCCGCCGGTGCCGATGTCTCTTCCCAGGACCTCCCGCCTCGGCTCACACCT